AAAATCCACAAGGCAAAAGAAATATTGTAAAGTTTAAAAAATATGTGTTTTTGTTTGCTTCTTTATTAATAGCTAGATTGGAGAGGGACTGTGTGTGTGTGTGTGTGTGTGGGGGGGGGGGGAGACCAGTGTCAGTCATGGTACTCCAGTTTTCTATATAATTTGATACTTTATTCAATTTGACATTGCTTTCATCATTTTGATGCTCCATGGTAGCTGTTCACATGTATCTCACCTGTCATTGGCTGTCTCTCTTGTACTCTTGTCCTGCATTTTTCTATAAGACTAATTTTACTCTAGTTCTAGTCCTCTTCTAATGAGATATGCCACAAATTGCATGCCTTTAACAATCGTTTTTAATGAGCGACCTTATAACGCTGTCTTCTCTTATTAACCTGGCGTTTGTTTCAACTTTCTCCATGATGTTCACAATATTCTTCTCAGAGGTAAACAATATATCATCATCATGAAGCAGGTCCTTGCAGAAGGTTGCTCTCATCACAGCCTGACAGAAACTCGGTCTCTTGCCAGCTCTCCTGCTTCATGTATTTTCATTCTCAAGGAGTCACTTATATCCTGTGCCCATCTTTGTGTCGGTCGGCCTCTGCCCCTCCTTCCTGGTACCTTGGTTTCTCCTATTTTTTTTCCCAATCCGTCTTGGCGCTTGATCTGACCAAAATATTTCAGCCTCCGAGACAGGATGCAGTTTATTAGCCAATCTTTCCTCTTGATCTTTCAAAACGTCAGTATTTCTCCTCTTCTTTGTATAAGATATTCTGAGAATCTTTCTTTAGCATTTCAGCGCAAAAGTCCCAATTCTCTTTTTCTTAAGGACTGGGAGATAGTATGTAACAAAATATAGAGAAATAAATTGCTAGGGATCCGTTAAGGCTGTTGAAAAAGTGTGATTAACAAATTAACTTATATTGATCAGCAGTCACAGAAAGAATTAGAGAGCTAGGATGATGTATTAGACAATATAAAAATCCAAAGCTGTAGTTAAAATACTGGGAAATGAACCTGTCCCCTCCAAATAATGACTGTGCCCTGCTTCAGGAACAAATACACCTCGACAAATGATTAGCTGGACAACAAAAATGGGCCATCATTAACCAGATCTATGCTGCCTCTACTTTTTTTTAATGAGTGTTAATCAATATGTTTGCTTGTTTATCTCAGTCAATAGCACCATATGCTAATATGAAACAATGGACGTATGGTGGGAAAAGGGTCCATTACTTTAGTTTAGTTTGTTTCTAATTGAGCAAAATGTGGTGTGTTATTTTTCCAACTGTTTTATATTAGCATACCTCAGAAATCTGGTCACATATTGTAGTGTGCAGCCCCAGAGGCACCAACATAGAGAAAACATTGATTGAGGGACCCACCCCCCCTTTCCACACACACACACACACACACACACACACACACACGCGCGCGCGCGCACACACGCACGCACGCACGCACGCACGCACGCACACACGCGCACACACACACACACACTCTCTTTCTAGAGAAAGAGGTGGTTCAAGGGGTCTAATCCTTGTTAAAGTGATTAGTTAATTAGTTTGTTAGTCTTTCCTCTTGAGTCCAAGGCAGCACATAGGGAAGAGGTCATAGCTCTCCGTGTCTTGTGGTTCATTGACACCTGCTTTAGGTTTTGGAAGTATATTAGGTCCATGGTTGATCCTTTTTTTTTTAAATAGAACATATACAGACTTTAGGGGAAAGGGGGGAGCTAGTAACTCTATTTTGAACCCTATATTTGTTTTTGGTGGGGGGAAAGAGGGAGGGGGGGGGGGTTGGAGGCCCAGTGTGGCCCCTGGGTTTTGTGCAGCACAGTCAGCTTGCTATTGAAAGAAACATTATTTTAATAGTTTTTTATTCTTGCTGTTTTTCTATGAAATCACCTGTTATTTAAAGATATACATAATTTTTTTTCTATTATTCTGTATTCATTTCATTCCTTCTCTCTCTCTCTCTCTCTCTCTCTCTCTCTCTCTCTCTCTCTCTCTCTCTCTCTCTCTCTCTCTCTCTTTCTCTCTTTCTCTCTCTTTCATATAATACATATACATTCACAGATGAATGTATGATTGTATACTGGAGTGGCTGCGGCATTGGAGGACTGAGCACGCATGGAAATGCCCAGTGTGCAGTGTCGTCGATTGTGAAAACGTAACAATATGATCTCTTCCATCAGCACCCATATATCATCTTTCTTTCTCTTTCTTTCTCTTTCTCTTTCTCTCTCTCACACACACACACACACACACACACACACACACACACACATATATATTATATATATATATATATATATATATATATATATATATATATATATTATATATATATATATATATATATATATATATACATATATATATATATATATATATATTATCTATATTATATATATATACATTTATATATATATTTATATATATATATAAGATAAAACACAAAAACAATGTACAAACAGCCTATTATTGAAGACAATAAAATGCATGATATTAAAGTTGCTGTTGTATGCTCTGTCACCAGAGTCCTGGAGAAAGCAATCAACAGATTCAGGACTGAGATTGAAGCTGTGGCACAGTCTCACGCCAGTGCTGCTACAATCTTCCAGCAACAGTCAGATAATGTCAGGAAGTTCAAAGAAAATCAGACAGCTCAACGAAAGGCAGTATGTAGTAACTAACAGTCAAATCTGTTGGTACGAAGCAGGTCTCACGTTAACTCCTTTTCTTCTTCTTCTTTTTTTTCTTGGTGTTCACCGGGTGTAAACTCTGGTGGAAAGTCCTGGTTGTTTGTCCACTTCTAGACTTTCGCCTTGTTCCAGAACTTAAGTTTTATGTGCACATCTGTTTCATTGGTCTGCCCTATTAATATGCAGACTGTTGGTTCCTTTTTTTAGAATAAACCAATATCTGATGTTAAACAGTTTGGATAAACTGTTCTGGGTTGCCCTAGAGCAATTGTTCTCAACCTTTAATGCAGTTTCTCATGTTGTGGCGACCCCCAACCGTACAATTATTGTCGTTGCTACTTCGTAACTTCAATGAATATGTGTTTTTTGATGGTCTTAGGTGACTCATATGAAAGGATCATTCGACCCTTAAAAGGTCGTGACCCACAGGTTGAGAACCGCTGCCCGAGAGGCATGTCCCATTGTTGGGTTAGTCTGCAGAAAAAGGCTGTCTCATTTCCTGAAGCTCTCAGCTTTGTCGTGGATGAGTCACTCTCAGAAGTTTTAGTCGGTTTCAACATTCCCTCACATTTTGATGATTTATTCTGATTATTTAGATTAACCCCTTTTTGATGTATTCTGCTGATATAAATTAACTCTTTTTAGATGTATTCTGATGATGTAAATTAACTCATTTTAGATGTATTCTGATGATGTAGATTAAATTATTTTTGATGTATTATGATGATGTAGGTGAACTCATTTTCAATCTTAAGACCCTCCTATTGCTATTTCCATGTGATTTTATTAATAGAATCAAATTTACTCATTCATTTGTAATGATAACACAAATTATTGTACAAATTGCCCGTCATTTTTCACCGTACCCTGTCAGGTGCATTTTAAATTATTTATACTACATAACTTTTGTCAGAATAATGAACATAAAAATGAATCCTTTTGACTGATAAACACAAATCAGAGGGTCCATTGTTTCACTGTTTATTTCACCACGGAAGTCTGAGACTAACTACATGATCCTTCTTTGCATAATGCATGGCTGCTCAAGCTTATCCTCATTAGACATACAACAATATTCATGTTCTGTGCTATATTATATGTAAATTATATAGTATGCAACCAATTAAATACCGTGAATAAGGCTTAACAGTTAGTTGTGCACAGTATATTGTTTATCCTCATCAGCCATTGAGGATCAGTTAATTTATGCATATATGAGTTTAGCATCATATCCACAACAGCCATCAATGGCCAGTTGGTCTATTTAAATATGAATTTAGCATCGTATGCCCAATGTGTCCCTGGGGTTAAAAGGATTCTATACGTTTTTCTTTTATATTCTTTTTGTCCTCATTTTTTAACATCATAATGGCAAAACATTGCTTTTAATTTACTTTTTACAAAACAAGACCATATTTTGACACATTATGCTATGGAGGGAAATCAATGGGTGGAGCCCCTCACATACAAAGTGTTGCTTGAGACTGAAAAAATTAATTGAGATTATTTTTCTTGCCACACCTTTTCTGGCTAGTGTTCATTTTCCTGTGAGCACACTTCCTATGATCACACATGTCGCAGAGCTTCAACGGGCCAGATAGACGTGTTAATTTTTCTTGAAGAGACCTCAGTTAAGTGATTTTGTGCATTCTTGTTTGTAAATTGAACATTGTCTATTCAGGTCAAGTGCTGATGAAGTCTTTCTAGCCGCAATGTTAACTTGTCATTTGTTATATTATGACAGATTATGTCACTGCAAATTGGGAATTCCTATGCCTGCTCAGTCCTCTGATGCTGCAGCCACTGCAGGGTACTTCTACTAATTGTTCTTATAGGGACTTGGCCTCCAAAGGGGAAAAGACGTGCTTCACCATGCTTTATTCCCATGTCACTCAACTGGGTTAGTGTCAGAGATTTGTCATTATCCACTAGCCCAGTCCGTACAGCGTTGATGATATCTGCTCTGTCCATGCTTCTTCTCACATGCATTGGTATATTACCATTTACGCCTGCATGACCAGGTATGTAGATCCAGGTGAGGAAGGTTAAGTGCAATATTTGAATTCTTTCTATCCATTCAGAGTGCATACCGCCTGTTGCTATCTTTTAAAGCCTGTTCATGGAGTCTGATACAATTACTGCCTGTGGCTGTTTGCTGTATTGCCCATGCTAATGCTCTAGAATCAGGGGCTATCTCCATGGTCATGCTTGTTGTTTATGAGTATACCAATGTAAAACTGACAAGTTCTACTTTTCATTTGGTTTGATGTCTTTTCATGATATATTTCAGCTGGAGGAGCAGCTACAAAAGTCTCAGAGCTCTAAACTGTCACAGCTGTCTAAAACATTACAGGTAGGTTGTTAGTGGTATTTCTTTACTTCAGTGAGCATATCTTGAAAGAAATTAACTCACAAATACACAGCATCAGATTGGTCACGTCAGATGGCAACAACTTGGTATGTCATGAGAACTGAGAAACCAGTTGAAAGTTAGTTGTGCTGTCTTTACAGGATGTTGCAGAACCAGCCCAGCATTTGTTCGCTGTTTTGGTTTTACTTGGCAATTTTTTTTCTTCTCTTCTTCTCCCCCCTCCTTTTTTCGTCTTCTTCTTCCCCTTTTTCTTCTTCTTCTTCTTCTTCTCCTCATTTATCTTCTAATGGTAATCCTAAGATGTAAATGCGCTGTGACTGGTTACCACATAGCTAAATGGGAAGAATAGAGGACTTTGGTGGCAGTGAATCCACATCACTCGCCAGAATGGCAGACTTGGGAATTAAGATCGGCACAGCAAAAAACGAGACGCACACCAGCTACGCCAGAAGACTTGTTAATCAACATAGAACTGGTGCTCCCCACCAGGCCTATAGCAGCCATCAGACGTTGGGGTTCATACTGAGGGGAGGATCTGAGCACCTATGGACATGTCCGGAGTGCAATGAGAATAACCCAACTAACTAACTAACTAACTAACTAACTAACCACATAGCTGCAATTTGTGTGCTTTTCAGCCGACATATCCGACATCTGCAAGCATTTGTTGTTCGGGTTAGCCTTCCCACTTGTGGGACATTGCAGTCCCATTGCTGTAAGGTCCTCTTTGTTTCCTTGTTCACAGTTGGTGCTCCCCACCAGGCCTGTCGATAGCAGCACCAAATGTTGGTCAGCCCTCAAGAAAAGGCAGGGTCAGAACATGAGCATAACCTGCAATCCACTTCAAATAAATTCAGAATTTGAAAATTATACATTCAGTAGGTTGTCATTGCTTTCTGAATGGTTAGCGCTTGATACCACTGTCGAAATCAATGCAAAATGGTCTGCTACCAAACTCTCTACAGCTAGAATCAAACCAGGTTCCTTAACATTACAAAGCATATTCAGGATGTCTAAGCTACAGAGGCTGACTAGCAAACTAGAGTCCAACATATGACAGCAAGGTCTGGGGAGAAGAGAGGAAGACCAAGAAAGGCTGTTGCAGTGTTTAGCCTCATAGTATGGAGGAACATCAGTATTAGATAGGGATGATAGAATATGAAACAGAAATTTGTGAACATACCTGAGTATGTATGTATGTATGTGAGTTCCATGCCACTAGTACATCACACAAGCTATAAACACCCGGTGACACAAAGTGCCACCAGCGGATGAGGATCACCTGTGGAGGGGTCCCGGGAACCCTGTTCAGCCGTTTGGCCATATTTTAGGCCCGAATATTTTTAGGGTCCCCGGCAAAAGCCAGGGTGGGGCTTCAAAATAGTTAAAAATTACATCCCACAAGGAAATGACTAAATATAGAAATACTTGAGGACAAATTCAAGACAGCAGAGACTAAGGAGAAAAGAAATTATTGTTCACTTTAGGAAAGTTACTGACTTTATTAAAGTGTACCTTTTGACCTCAGTTTATGACCATATATTTATATTATATTTGTATAAATATGATTATTTCACATTATGTCGCTTGCATGTGTTTATATATATATTTACACAACCACTTAACTATGTATTATCTGGGTCCTGTTCACATTTCCAAGCCCAGGATTAGAGTAATTTCCCTTGCCAATCATGCCTCCTTAGGTCCTCCGGGGGTGTTATGATATGGCTTCATTTGGCATTTGTTCAGCATATGTAATGTTTGTAGGAGGTTGTGTTGTTGTGAATCTATTTCAGGTGCTGCAGGTATCTGTGTACAAGTATGAAGTACTGAAGGGGGAGTGCCACAGGCGCGAAAATTCTTGGCCATCAAAACTGGGATGTTTTTGTATTTCTACTTTTGTTGGCAGTGCCCCCCCCCCCCCCCCCCCCCCCCCAACCCCCTGAGAGAAAGAAAGTAGTTACAAGGAGCACAGGAATAGAAAAATATTGTTGTTTCCATACTCCTGAACCATCGCACAGGCAGCAGAATGTTAAAATAATCACACAAGCAAGCGGTCAGAAGACGAGAAAAGAGGCAACTGTTAAACCACTCAGAATAAGGGAAACATGACTCTCCCACAACAAAGGAGAGGCCCAGCGACCTGAGGAGGCATGAATGGCAAGGGAAGATACTCTAATCCTGGGCCTGGAAACGGGAACAGCACAATCATCTGTAAAAACAATAGATTTAAAATATCTTAGTTATAACCTACAAAGGTGGAACAGATTATAAATTATAACAATTCCAGTATCTTCTTATACACAAATGAGTGATTTGGCAGCATTTCCTGTCATAATAAAATGATTTCAAAAATCAAAATGGGAGGCTCCTAAAGTAAACTGAGTACTTGAAATATTTTGACAAACATCGTCATCATCAAGTAACCTGCTAACTGGTAAAGCAGGTCATATTTTATCACTTCTTGCGATCTTCAATAACATGTATAAATATGTGTGTTGACACTTTCATTTCTTGACAAATGGCAGTTAAGGATTTCCTCTTGTTGTCTTTGTAGATCTCGCTTTTCATAGATGTTCATGTTGTTTTTTCTTATAATGTAACCCAGAAAATGATAACT